CCGCTGGGTCTGTCTGCCTCTGCGGGCCGCCAACGGGCCTGTATGTCTCTGCCGGCTGCCACCGCGGGCCTACCTACCTCTGCTTGTCACTGCTGCCGGGCCCATCCACCTCTGCAGGCTGTCACCCGGCCTGTATGTCTCTGCCGGTTGCCACTGGGCCTGTATGTCCCTGTCGGCCGCTGCCACCGGGCCCGTCCACCTCCGCAGGTCACCGACCTGCGTCCGCCTGTGTCCGCCTGTCTCCGCCGCGTGGCCGGTCTACTTTTGTGGGCCTGAATGTCTCTGTCGTCCGCTGCTGCCGGGCCCGTCCACCTCCATCTGCTTATCTTCGCTGCAGGGCCTGTCCACCTCTGTGGGCCACCGCTGGGCCTGAATGTCTCCGCCAGCTGCCACCGGGTCTAAATGTCCCTGTTGGCCGCTGCCGCCGGGCCCGTCAACCTCCGCGGGCTGCTGCCACAGGCCTACCTGTGTCTGCTTGTCTCCGCCATCTTGAATCCCTCCCCTAATATCCACTCTTGAGTGAGTACATACCAAGTTTGTCTTTCTGTGTCTGGGATACCTACTCAGGATGATTTTTTCTGGTTCCTCCAGTTCCCTCAAATTTCCTAATGTAACTGATTTTAACAGCTGAGTAATACTCCATTGTGGAAATGTACCTCATTTTCTTTGTCCATTGTGTGGCTGTGGAGCCCCTAGGTTGTTTCCATGTTCTGGCTATTGTGAATGACCCTGTCAGGAACATAGTTGAACAACTGTTCTCATGGAAAGATTGAGCATCCTTTGGGTATATGCCCAAGAGTGATATTGCTGGGTCTTGAGGTAGATTTATTTTCAGTTTTCTGAGAAACCTCCATATTGATTTCCAAAGTGGCTGTACAAGTATGGACTACCACTATCAGTGGAGGAGTGTTCCCCTAGATCCACATCAAAAGGTGAAGTTCTTAAGTCACTGCTAGTTCCTTGTCTCTGCTTCCAGCTTGTAGTTGAGATGATCTCTCAGCTTCCTGCTGCTATAGCCCTGCTTGAAACTTATTGCCATTGCCTCCTTTCTCCCATCATTTATTCATATCCATCTGGGATAATAAGCCAAAATTAAGTTCTCTCTGCTTACTTAAGTTGCCTTTGTTCATGATGTTTTATCACAGCAACAGAAAACTAACAAAAATATTGGTCTTCCTACCACACCATTTGTGGATTCTCTTAGTCTTTTTTTCATTGGCTTCCCATACATTGTCCTGACTGTCCACCATTTTGTTAAGATGCATCCTTCCAAATATTATAAACCCTATTTTCTTTATTGTCTTAAAAGTATTTTCATAGGCATAGATTCTTAACACTTTGTAAATAGTTTAACTTTTATTGACTTACAATAATTATATATAATTATTATGACATTTTCATACATATATGCAGGCATTTTTGATCAAATTAATGGCCCACTAACCTCTCTTGTCCTGTTCCCACTCTTCCTGATCTTTTTCCTCTTCCCAAGTAACTCTGCTTTCTACTTCCATGTCCCTCTTCTGCGTATGTGTGTGTGTGTGTGTGTGTGTGTGTGTGTGTGTGTGTGTGTGTGTTTGTGACCCAGTGAGTTACATTGGGGTCGCTTACTGGAGCACAGGGAAGGAGTCATTTACAGGAACATGGGTATCTCACCAGTAGCTCCTATACTGAAAAAAAATGCCTCTTCTTCCACTAGCAACCACTAACTGCCTATAGACCCTGGAAGGAGGGGGGTGTCTCATGAGCCCTACCCTAACTACATTTGACTGCTCATAAAGCCACAGGAAAGTTGTGGTTACTTGTTAGCACCTTTTCTCTCCTTGATAGAGTATTTTAGGGCCCAATCTTGTGCAGGTCTTGTGCAGTAATCCCAGCTACTAAGAGTTAAAATGTGCTGTGGCCTTGTCATGTCTAGAAGACAATATTCCACACCATTCATGTCATTTTATTTATAGAAGTGTTTTTCTTGCATGTATGTGTTTGTTGAATATGTGTCTGGGGCCCAGAGGGGCAGAAAGAAGGCATTGTGGGTAGTAGAAATTGAGTCCTGGTTCTCTAAAAGGACAGTGAATGCTTTTAACTGCTCAGCCTTCTCCCCATCCCTACTTGTTTAATTGTTCAAAATGTCATCTTAGTTTATTTTTGGTAGTTTTTAATCTATGTAGAAATTCATCCATATGTTTTAGATTTTCCAGTTTAGTGGAATGCTCTTAAGGTAAACCCTAATAATTTTCTGAATTTCACTGGAGCTTGTCATAATGACTCCATTTTCATGTCTTATTGTATTAGCTTTGGCATTCATTCTTCCTTTTGGTTAGTTTATCTAGAGTTTGTCAATATTGTTTATATTGTGAAAGAACCAAATCTATTTCATTGACTATGTAGTTTGTTTTGTTGTTGAGCTGTTTTTGTTTCACTGATTGCATTAATGTCAGTGTTTTCTTTCCAGCTAATGATTTTGGTGTTTGGCTTGTTCCTTTTTTACAGTCCTAAGGTGAACCATTAACTAAATTTTTAGAAATTTCTTTGATTTCTTATTACAGGAACACTGACCTTTAAACATCTCTGTTAGGACTGTTTACATTGCATCTCACAGATTAAAAAATGTTGTGTTTAATTTTCATTTTATTGAAGGAGTCTTTCTACTCTTGGATTCTTTAAGAAACCATTCATGATTATGTCGTGAGTTGTTTAATCTCCATGAGTTTCTTTACTTTTACAGTTTCTCTTATTTATTTATAGTCATTTTATTGGTGTTGGACAGAATATAAAGAAATATTTCAGTTTCCCCATATTTGCTCAGATGTTCTTTGTGTCCTAATATATCTTGGAATTCCCACTCCTATCTTATTATTATGTTATCTTTGTTCTTATTGGATTTTCCTAAGTCCTCCACCTTACCTTCACACTGTGATTTTTTTTCCTTTAAAAATATCTTATTTATTGTGATCTTGTGTGTATGTGTGCATGAGTGTCTGTGTGGGCAGAACATTTTTGAGAACCTGAGAACAACTTTGTGGAGTCAGTTGTACTTCTGATTTATGTGGGTTACAGAGACAATTTGGTCATCAGGTTTATATGATAAGCACTTGGTTTACCCATTATTATTTCACAATGCCACCATTACTTTTTGTATCTCTATTTATTTCATTTACTATTTACTAGTTGTGTAGATTACTCTTGCTAATTTCTACTCTTCCTTGTGCAATAAAGTTGTTTTCATAACTTACTTTTCAAAATTATGTCATTAGGGTCTGAAGAGATGCTTTGGTGCTCAAAAGAACTTGGAGCTTTTTAGGGGAGGGGAGTGTGTTTCCCACTACCCACATCAAGTGGCTCACAATTTTCTATAGCTTCAGCTTCAGGGGAACTGGCACTCTTCTCATCTTTGCAGACACACAAATACACAGACTCACACTCATATGAAAACACACAAACATATACAAAAAGAAAAAATTAAAATAAATCTTTCAAAAATTATTTCTTTAACTACAAGTTTCTAGGGCATTGCACATTCTCTGAACGCTCATGTATAACTCTCTGTCTCTGTCTCCCTGTCTCTCTCTCGTTCTCTCCCTCTGTCTCTTTCTCCCTTTCCCACTCCCTCTACCCTTTCCCCACCTCTCACTCTCTACTTGATGACTTATTCCCTTCATTCTTTTAATTGTGATTATTAATGATGCCATACAACCTTGATTCATTCATTTGGTTTCACTCAACTGCTTGTTGTATTGATAAGAATCATTCTTCTCAATGTCATACAAAGTGCCATTCTTCCCATCTCTGTCTTTGAATCTTTTTGTTTTCCTAGGACCAAGATATAGGTGCTTACTTGCCTGATAATTGAACATTACTCCCCACTAACACTCAGATCTTGTGGTTGTTTGTTTTTGGATGCAGCCACTAGGTCTCTTAACTTGATACACATCAATTAAAATGTAACAAAATATAAATAGCCAGGCTGATTAGTATGGTGCAAGCCTGCAATCACAACATTCATAGGATGGATTCAAGTGAATCAACAGTTCAAGAACACCCTTGTCTGCATAGCAAGATGGAGGCAGCCTTGTTGAGATATTCTTTTTAATACATGCTTCCAAATAAACACTTATGTTTTAAAATGACTTCCAAGGCAGAACCACTGTTATTTATCAGCTACATATATGTCATTAGCTTATTTTTGGTGCTCTCCCTAAAATGCTTTTGGCTTTTTGTTTGTTTTCAGACAGGATGTATTATATCCCAGATTGGCCACAAATTCTCTATGTACTTGAACATTGAACCTCTGGTCTTCTCTTGTCTTGACCTCCCGAGTTTTAGTAATGCACATGTATGCCACATTTGGCTTGGCTTTTAGCTTTTCTTTGAATGTGAATAGCTATGTGTGTTTATAATGGTGTGGTTACAAATGTGTGAATGTGGCTGTCCTTGTGCCAAAGCTTGAGTGTGGAAGACAAGCAATGACATCAGGCATCGAGCCTTAATTTCTCCCTTGTTTGAGGCAGAGTCTCTTTCTTCTTGTTCATCACTGTGTGTGCCAGATTAGCTGGTCCCAAGCTTCTGAACATTCTCCTGTCTCCACCTCCCATGTCATAGAAGGAGCACTAGGGTAACATATTTACTGCATCACCATCTTTGAGTGCTTCCTGAGGATTCAAACTCAGGTCCTCACACATGCAAGGCAAATGCTTTCCACTGAACCATCACCTGAGCCCAGCTTTCAATCTCGTTAAATGGCTTAATTCTGTCATGTACTGTGCAGCTTATTTCTCTCTACTACTTCTCTGTAGATCATTTACCCCCAGCTTTCAATCAAATTTTAGATTCCTTGAATTCATGTATCCTACGGCACTCTTAACTTTACTCCTGACTTGATTTATTTAGTTCATCAGATAATGGTGAGCAAGGCAAATGTGCAATGGAAGCTGAGAAATATAGAGAAAGGCCTAAACCAGGAACAGTGAAGACTGTTGAGAAAACATCACAATAGCCCTAGGAATGTAAATGAAGCTTTGGGGTGTGTATCAGGGTCCTGCGCTGTTTCTCCCTCTGGGGGAGGAGCCAAGTAGACACAGAGTCAATGACACAGACTCTGGGAGAATGTTGAAACAAGCCTGGTTTATTCAGGAAGAGGCAAGTCTTCCATACCCTCCACCCCACCCTGGGAGAAGGTCTTAAGAATATGCATCTGCTGGTGTGACATGGTTGCCTCTCATTGGTCCAGATCATCTCCAGATCATGTCTCAGCTGCTGTTGCTAAGGCCCTTAGCCAGACTCAGGTTGGTTCTCAGAAAGCATCTTTTTTTTTTTAACTGATCTGGGCCAGCTGGCTCTCAAGCTTATTAGGAATGAGTCATCCCACAGGGGTGAAGGTATAATTTTATGCCTGGAAGGTCTCTTGTAGTCTGTGTTTAGGAGGCTAGGGTATTGAGAATCACTATTGAGAAGTGGTAGAAGCTTAGAAGTAGATGCCAGGGTGAGGAGATCTCCCTTAGAAAGGATTAAGACAGTTCTTAAGACATGATAGTCCAACCATGGCCATGCCAAGACCATTCTGGCTTACTGTATTGGTATGATTGCTTTTCTCCCAAACATGCATCCATCACTAAAGCCCAAGAGGAGGATGTTTCCATGAGGCATCAAGGGTAAATCTGTGAGATGAAGAATTTACTAATGAACTTGATTTAATCAGCTCAATATCTGTGTGTATGTGTTAAATGTCACATTGTATAGTATAAATACTGGTTTGATTTTTCTTAGTAAAGCTGTCTGCCATTTCCAGAAAATATCAGGAAGACCTCACTTTCTTTCTTTATAATCAGTGCTTTCCTCTTCCCTTAATGCAGTGATATTTGGATCATGGTTTGAGCACACCCGTGCCTGGCTATCCATGAGAGAAAGCGACAACTTCCTGCTACTGAGCTATGAAGACATGAAAAAGGTATATGTTACAGCAATCACAAAGTCTCTCACAAAATTTCCCCATGCAGCACCTCATATTCTTCCGTATCCCCATGTTAGTGTTAGGTCAATGAAGAGTCAGTAAAAGTGAGATTATGCTCTATGTCCTTTATTGAGCTGCATCTGATATTTTCTCTCCAGTCTCCTGTCCATCATTCACAACGTTTTTACCCTACTCCACCCTGGGGTAGGGTGGGGTAGCTCACACTTGTGTTATAGGGTTTTTAATCCTGTCTATGCAACACATTCCATACACCTAATAACCCAGTGGTCAGTGGGGAATGGGTAAAGCAGTGTCATTCCACTGTTGTTTCCAACTGTAAGTCAACCACCCTTGAAGGCAAGAAGAGAGACAAAGGCAGGAAATCCATCTGTGAATCCTGGGAGAGCACAAGAGCTGAAGTCATATGAAAAGCATGAGTGATACACCTGACTAGGCATGCAGAGGATGCAGCCAGTCAGGGATGATTGTGTTCTGTGTTCTGCAGTACAGAGGTTTCTGCCTGGTGGGCTAGAATATACTGGAGATTTCAAAACTCTTAGTAGAGAATATCTGAAATATTTCAACATTTAGTAATGACATATGTCTAAATAAACTATTGGGCCATATCCTTAGCAGATCATTGCAGCTTTCATTTCATTGAAATGCCCCACAGACAGCAACATGTTGAAGTACTGTGTATGTGTCTAAAATATCTCTTATTTTAAAAATTAATAAAATATATCTTGGCAAGGCATCACATGACTAAAACTAGCACTGGGAGAGAGAGAGAGAATTTAAAATCCTGAATCATGACATGACAATCAGGGGTTCTAGGTTATTCTTGTTTGTATGGTAGGTTTGAGGTCAACCTTGGCCCAAAAAGACATTGATTCAAAAGATCATTAATTAAAAATAATTTTAAGTTCATTTGTGTATTTTATTTTCATTTAGTTAAAAAATTCTCCCTCTACTGATGGACACATAATAATGACACCAAAAATATAAACACAAAAATATTCACATTTGATCACCAACTCAAAAGTTTAAGCAGTTTGGAAGTTATCAGTGAAAGCTAATCATCATTTATATATCACAGGTAAAAGTATCGATTGTACTTTTTTACTGAACAAGAAAAGAATTGTGAAGTCTATCAGAGAAAACACTTGCCCATCCTTAGAATAGTTCAAAAATTTAGTTAAGGAGGAAAAGAAGCCACTGTGTACCTTTCAGAAGTAGACTCTGGTGATGATGACGGTTACTGATAGCAGTAATTTTTTTGTTTTCATTTTTATTTCTCTTATGAGAATTTTATTACTTAAAACAATTTTTAAATTTAAATATATTTTGATCATATCCTTTCTCTCCCACAATTTCTTCCAAGTTTTCTTCTCCTCCTTACTCACACAACCTTAAATTCTTTCTGAAAAAAAAAAACAAAATCCAAATAAAACAAAATTCCCCCTGAAAGAAAACAAAAGATAACAATAACCAAAAAGAAAAAAACCCCACTGAACTGCAACCAAATAAAAACACATACACACACGCACAAAACAAACACAAACACAAAACAAAACTGTGGATTCTATTACATGTTGGTCAACTACTCCTGCACATGAAGACTTTCCTGCAGTGGTTGATATATCCAGTGTCACTTCATTGGAGACAGTGGATTTTTCCTTTTCTAACAGGTATAAATGACAGTTCAGTTGTTAACCTTTACCCTAGTGGCTAGATTTTTCATGCATTAATTTTTTAAAAATATAACAAAATGAAGTACAATATGATAAAATAATATTATTCCCTCAAAGTTGGACAAGACAAACCAACAGAAGGAAAACAGCACAAGAGAAGGCACAAACAGAGACCCACATGTTTGAACATCCAGGAAGACCACAAAATCACTAAACTCTAGACTCTAACATATTAGCATAAGATTGGTGCAGACTGGTGTGGCACTATGCATGCTGCTCCAGTCTGTGGGTTCATATGAGCTTTTCTTATGTTGATGTGGATGGTCATGTTTTCTTAGTGTTCTCCCTCTTCTCTGTCTCTAACACTCTTTCTCTTCCTCTGAAGAGTTATCTGAGTTCTAAAGTGAGAGATTTGGTGGAGACATACCATTTAGGGCTGATTGTTCAAAAGTATCTCAAACTCTGTGTATTCTCTGTCTGTGGATCTCTATATTTCTTCTCAGCTGCTTTGGGAGAAAATTTCTGATGATGACTGTACAAGGTGCCAATCTGAGTATAGCAGAATATCATCTGGAATCATTTTTTTTCACTAATTTTTCAGACCAGTATTATTTGGTTTTACCTTAGGTCCCTAGGCTGTCTAGTCTCTGGTCACCAAAACAGTGTCAGCTATGTGTTCCATCCCATAGAGTAGACCTTAAGTAAAATCTGTTATTGGTTGGTAACTCTCGTGAGTTTTGTGGCATCATTGCCTTAGTGTATCTTGCAGGTAGGACTATGTAATTGGAAGTTTCCTGTCCCAACCATCTGGTCCCAAATAACCAACTCAGAGACTGTATGTGAACTATAAATGCTTGGCTGATAGCTCAGGCTTGTTACAATCTAATTCATACTTTTAGATTACCCATTTCTGTTAATATATGTATTGTCAGGTGTCTCATGGCTTTATATGTCCTCTAACATGTCTTTCTTCCTGATCAGCTGGGTGGCATCTCTCCTGAATCTGTTCTTCCTTCCCATCATTCTCAATTTGGTTTTACTGCCTAACTTCCTGCCCAGCTACCAGCCAGTCAGCATTTTATCAACCAATATGAGTAATACATATTCATAGTGTAGAAAGGATTGTGACAGACAATTTTTTCCATTTTGTCTAATTAAAAAGGAAGGCTTTATCCTTAATATAGTAAATCTCTGAACAACTAAAACAGTTATTATGTAAGAATTACAGTAACAGTATCTGATCCATTTATATTTGCAAAAGTGGAGAAAATACTTAATTATCTATCTTATCTTGGTTTGTCTAAATTTTGTATCTAATTTACTTTCTATTATAACTAAGGAAAACTATAACTATAACTATTTAATCTTCAGCTCCATCAAAGACTCCAGAAGGGTGAAAAGTTACCTAATGGCAGGGACATCAGGTTGCCTGGACAGTCACCCAAAGTTCATCTGTAACACTGGGGCATCCAACTCTGGCCTATAGGCCAAGCATATCTGACAGACTTTCCTGTTAAGCAGAGAATATTGAAGGACTGTCCTACACTATCATGGCAAAGTCCAGCAGTTACCTTTCTTGCATCCTGCTGGTCCAGTCTAGACAGTAACTGTCAGTAATTGAGGCAAGGGCAATTACTTTACCTATGTTGCTAGCTTTTGCCATAATGAAAACCAACTCCATATTGAATTTCTTTGATGCCCATCATTCTCTTTGAAGTAGTTGGTGATGCCAGGAGCAGACATGTCTCACTGTCAAGAAAAGTCTATGTTCTTAAAACATTTCAAATGCTGTATTCTGTAGGTCTTTGAAGTGTTTCAAGATTGCCTATATATCTGAAATATACCTATGTATACCTAGAAGACTCAACTAACACCTCTATATGTTTGCTATTATAGATGACTATTAATCTGTGTTTCTTAACTATATATTACATTTTAAAATTAGCTGCATAATCATATTACCAGAAACAAGAGTAGAAATATATACACTATAACAAAATTAACTTTAAATTTGTATCAATAAACCAAAATCCATATCAATGTACTATAGATAAGATTAGTACTTTGTTTGTGGATTAAAGTAGATTCAATAGTCTACCATTTTTTCCTATCATTTCTGTATCCCGCCTTTTCTTTTCAGAACAAGATTCCTGAATCTAATCTCACTGTTTAGCATTTTTTTCTGACCATTATGTATAACAACTTGTAGCCAACCCTCCAAATAATGACAATCATAATGTGTTTTTGGGAATTATTTCTGGTTGATTTTGTGTCCTGGTAATGTTTTGGGGATCCTGAGAAAATTTAGGATTATGGTCAAGTCCTGACTGAAGTATTCTGTGAGGCTGGATTATCTCAGCCAGCAGCCCTGAAGTTGTTCTGGTGCAGAACTCAGAAGGAACTGCAACAGATGCACTCTCAAACATTGCATCAGCTGCGTAACCCTTTCCCATTGGAGATTTTTCAGGGGGTCTTCCTCATTCAAACCTGATTTTTCTTAACCCCGAATGAATCCAGAGCCTCTCATTTCCTGTGGAATAAAAGCAGAATCTCTTTCCCAAAGTATCATATCTTTTGACTTAAATTTTGATGTCAAGATATTTTCAAAATATAAGCTTGGTTTAATCTAGCAGCTTTCATAATCAAATGTTTCTTTGCAGTTCTTATTTGTTGATGAGTATACAAAAAATTTAAAGACAACACAGTAACATATAGTATCTAGACTCCTTGTGTGTTTTCCATATTTATGTGGCTTATTATTTAAGGAATTTACTTTATTTTAAAACTATATTTTTTAATCTGGGGCTATATATATTCTTTTTTCTCTCTCCCAAGCCTATTCATATTAAAGACACTGTGACCTGTTTAGAGGCTCTTTTTAAAAAATCTGTCCTTACTGCACATCAATAACCTTTTCTGTGTGCATGAACCAAAAAATTGCTATGTAACTTAGATCACAGAATGCTGGTGCCAGCTCCTCTCCCTTGGTTCCCTGAGAGTCTAGTCTCATGGCAGAGGCAAGTTTACCATCAGCATTGGGAACGATGTTTACTTCCTGATCTCTGGGAAGTCTCTAGGTTCATGCTGCCATAGAGTAGCATGATGCCAGTTGCTCATAAGCACCATATAAGTGTTTGGTAGTGGGGTATCTTAAAAGAGATATCGCCCATGTTTGCTGCTAGCACTAAGCCTGAAAGCCACCTCATAAAGGAGCCATGCATATGCTCACTGCCAGCAAACAGCCCATTGGAGAAAAAGTCACTATCAAGAAGCCATGCTTGACTACATTCTTGTGTGTA